TATCATTTTTGTGTTTAGTATTTTCAAGTAATAAATCTTTGTTTCCCTGTCTTTATTGTACACTTCAATTGTTTTTTCTGTTCATTTATTTGCTTATATGTAATATTTCAATTTATCCTAAATACGAAAAAAATGAAACGTAAGAAAACTGAAATAATAAAACAATTTTCGAGAACTTTTGGAACAAAGGACATAAAAAGTTCATATTATATATATTGAGATGTTTTCTGAAATAATTCTTTCTCAAAAACGTGGATTTTTCTCTTCCAGATTTTTCTCATCACTGATATTATTTAATGTTAAGTGACCATTTTTCATTCCTTTGTAATTCTGCCAGTGATAAAATATAACACTATGTTAAATCTTATCTTTTTATATTTTATTGCTTTATATTATTAAAATATAAAGAAATTTATATTTTACAAATTCTTTTTTTCTCCCATTTTATTTTTTCCAAGAGACATATGAGATTTACATTAATGTATCGGAATAATAGTTCGACAGTTCTATTTAGTTTATTTAGTTTATATTTTTTTTATAGTTTTATATTTTTAATAACACAAACTAAATATCGCATTGTAAATTTGACATAATACGTAATTCTAACGAATATACGTCTTCTAACGAATATGATGAGAAGCAATTTCTGTAAACAACATGTAAATAATTCTACTTAGTTTTTATATAATTTAATCCACTAGAAGTATTGCCTATTTTGATACTTCGATAGTTTCATTCGCATCATCTATTCCGTATAGAAAGTAGAAAAAACAGAAACAAAGAATCTTATTTATTATCTTATATAAAGAAAGTAAAACTATTAAAAAAATTTTGCTAATATTATAATAAAAATTATTTTATTATAAACAAAATATATACGTTTTTAAATTTTTATCTAAAATTTTTGAAAATCATAGCTTTTGAATATTATAAATGAATTGATAATATTAATAATCAAAAACTATCAGATATTCCAATTTTATAATATCAAAACCTTAATTTTACATTATGTACATAAAATTTGTAATTTTGCTGCAATTATTATTCTAGAACAAAATATTATTCAAAGATAATTTCAGAAAGTTATATTAAATATTATTAACTTAGCAGAAACTATTTTTACAAAATATTATTTAATTTCATATAAATTGATACTACATTACTTTATTGTTGATAATAAATTATACATACATTATACATACATTACAATGACATATAAAATATTATTTTCAAAAATATTTATCACAGTTATAAGCATTTAGTCATTCTTTACTTATTCTTTATCGCCATGAAATATCAAATATTACTGAGAAAGACTTTGGAAGCTGTATAAGTAATTTAGCAAAATTTCTCATTTTGACTCTTTCTTATTGTTAGAAACAGTTTTAGTTTACTTATGTAGTCAGAATTTCATTTGATTATATTCTTTGTTCTTATATGTTTGTACACTGCCTGACATAATTAAAAAAACTATTATTAATTATAATTCTATTATGTATTTATCGTATATTCAAATTCTATGGTATAGGTTAAACTATGACGTTACTGTTCTAAATAAATTTAAAAATCTCCATGTAGCAATATTTGTAGATAGTTATATTACTATATATATTGATTTGACATGATAATTTCTATTGTCATTGCAGAAAAACTTTAAATCGTCATAAGTATAAAAGTAAGCAATTGTGATATTTATAAGATATTTTCTATTTGTTTCGTTCTCTTATTCCCAAATTTCATATAGATCATTCAGTTACACCTTGTATATAGAATGTATTTGAAATTGTTTTCTTCAATAGATTATTTATTGTTTTTATAAATGTGTAAAAATTATTAATTTATCTTAATATGCTTATATATTAAACGTTAAATAAATCACACCCAATTTACACATTACAAAAATATTCAGACAAATACTTTATTTCTCGATATATTTACAAATAGAGCGATTATTTTTCTAGAAATAGTTTTAATTAAAACATAACATTTGTTTACAAGTGCTTCGTATGAGATTTCTTACGAAGAGGCAATATACAATTCAATCATTATACTGCCATTTTACATGAAAATGTATCGTAAAGGTAAAAACATTTCATTTAATCTATGTCAATTATTAACTTTTTGTTGGGAAAAGAAAAATTGTATCGTAAAACTGCTACTATACTTAATTTGAAATGGTGACAGATGGCATTAATAAATATAAAAAAAAGATAGATTTGAATAACTTTCACAAATCGATCAAAAATGATAAATGAGGAAGAAAAATGACAGATTTTTGGAAAAGTAAAAAAACATCTACGATTGAGTATTAACATTAGCAAAATTTCGAGATGAAAGTAAGAAAAATATAAGCACACAAACTATTCAATGATTACTTAAACAAAACAGTTACAATGGAAGAGCAACTATTAAGAAACCATAAGATAACAAAACAGATAAAAAATGTTTAACTTTTGCAAAAAGTATGATTTTGAAGTTGCGAGAAAGTGATGTTACTTCCAATCATGAGTCTAAATTCAATATATCTGATTTAGATTAACAATACATGATACGACATCAATCAAATATAGCTCTAAATCCAAAAAACTTGTGAATCACTTTAAAGTATGGAAGAAATGTTATAATCTGGGAATATATATTGAGTGGAGGAATAAGAAAACTTGTTTTTATTGAAGATATTGTGGATAAGAACTATTTATATATTTAAAAAAAAAGTTTAATGCCAAATGCAGTCAGTATAGGTAAAGATGTGTCAAATTTTACTAAGAATGAGCTGAAGCATAAAACATGAATTATATGAATATCTATAGTATAATTGTCAGAAATTGTCATAAAATATTATTCTCTTTCTTCGTCTCCAGATTTTAATTTTATAGAGAATCTATAGGATAATTTTAACAGAAGAATAAAAGCAACAGCAATAAAAAATAAAGAACTCATAAAAAGATTATAAGATTGCAAGAGTTTATGAGAAATGTAAGAAAACAAGTATACAATATCTTCAAAAAATTATATTTAGTATGCTGAAATGTTTGAAACATGTAATAAAACAGAAAGGTTATATTACTAAATATTAAATATTGAGTTTCGATTTATAAAATATTAATTATGTATAATGTCTAAATATTTTTGTAACGCGAAAAATGTTCATGATTTCATTTAATTTATAACATTATTTTATTACATCGAGTTAATTAAATAAATTATACATATTTGTAAAATACAATAAATATTCTATCGAAAGAAATAAATTTGAATTCATTTCTTTAATAAAGATATGGATCGTTAATGTCAACCACATATACATGATCGAACATTTTTGTGATTAACTATACCTTTTGCAATGTATCCAATGTTGATGATATAATCATCGAAGTTTAAGAATTTTATTTTTTTCATTAGTTGATAATTTTGTGTTAGAATCCACATTTTTAACTTCTTACAGTGTTTCATTATAAGTAAATTCTGAAAGACTACTTCAGAACATTATCTACATAACTTGTTAACTTTAATGGTTGTATATCATGTACGAATTGATTTCTTTTCATTCGTTTTCTCCTTCGCACTTGATTTTATTTATTTGCTTTATATTTTTTATTTTCTCCTTTATTCTTCACATTTCTTTTTTCTTTTTAATTAAATTCAACAACGAGCAGTAATAAACACTAATCAACATTTTATAAAATAAGGTTACATATCAAGTACTTATGTTAACATATTAGCAATCATTCTGCTTTATAATGCACTTTAGTTCGTAACGCCAAGATGTTTATAACATCGTTTATATAAAGCAGCACTATCATATATCTCAACCAATGAGACTCATCTAAATCTTGAAAATCTTAACCAATAATAGGCAACTGCATATTTCTATAGTTAAAGAGGTTTTATAATGATGTCATTAGACGTGAAATATGATAGATTAAAGAACAGGCGAAAATTAAAAAAAAGACAACATAATAATTCCGCTGAAAATATAACTTCATTATTTTCATAAGAAAATGCAGGATGAAATTTTCAAACAAAAATAAACCCTATTTTTAATGTCACGAAGAGTAAAATTTATTTCGTTTCAGGACAAAGCATAAAATGTATCGCACCATACACATGAAATAAAACGCTATTATTAGCGCTAGTGCGTTGAACGTAAAATATATGTTATATTTTGCATAGATTAAACTTGATATCTATACATGAAATCTGTTGATAATTTGATCGTTTATATTTTTATAAAGAATCTTAAGTAAAACGTATAAGAAATGCAGGAAGAGAGATAATTTTCATTTTTTACGTTATTATGTATAATAAATTTATCACTTTTAAGATCATCGTTCGATGTATGTAATTTAAAAATCGTTCTAATTTATTTTATTATGTCTTCATTATCATATAAAAGAAAACAATGGTATTATTCATGCTTCATCGATTAGTTATTTTTGGATTATGTAATATTTACATCAGTGTCTTAAATAATTGGAATATATTTCTAATTTTTTGACGTAATATTATTACCATATTGTTATAGATATTATATTTAATTCTAATATAGGTGTAATGTGCGTAACATCAATAGAGTATAAACAATTAATATATGTATTTTTATATGTTAAAATATACAATAAATATAAATGTTATTTGTCAAGAAGTAAATTATATTATTGTTTAGCTATTATACTTTCCAATGGAATAATATCAAGTTATAGATTTTTACTCATTACAGAAGAATTACTGGAGTATATATATGTATATAGGCATATATGTGTAATTGACCTATCTACAGTATGTTGCCTTACACTATTTCATGTTTATTTATTGTTAGCCTAGCTATAACAAGGTGATCTTTTATTTGCAGAAACTAAAAAATTACAATAAAGGAACAGTTACCGGTGACATAGATCATGTATTTTCAAGCCTGCCTATATGGACTGGTGATTTTTCAGTTACTTCCAGCTAGTCATAGAGTAGTAAGAGTAGCGAGTAACAGGTTGTTTAGAATGCAAATCAAACAACATAGAGTACAAACATATGCAATTTTTATGAAATTCATTTCTTATTGGAGTTATATAACAACTTAGTTATTCAATTTAGTTATTCAATGCTCATGTACTGAAAGAGAATTTCAATTTTTAAGTAATCAAATTATTTAATCACTCATCATAGAAGTTATCAGTGTATTATAAGCCTTATGAAATATGTATCGTCTTCATGCAAATTGCTTTGAAAAAATTGACGATTTTACATTATCTGATATCAGTTCAGGGACCCTATTTTTGAAATAGGTGCACATCTATATGTGAATGGCAAGTTGCAAATAATTGTTATGGTAAATGCCCAGAACATTATTTTTGACAGTTGGAAGTACAACATCTACATAATTTAAGTAGCAATGAATATCATAATTTTCAGTGAAAGAAGGTAAAGTAAAAATAAACATGTACATATACAATATCAGAATGCTGATAGAAAAACATACAATCTTTTTAAAAATGGATTTAGAAGGCATAATAAATACACTTTATGTTTCTCTAACTATTAGATATAAACTATATTAAATAAAAAACATACAAATTATGTCAGCATTTATTTAGTATTATGCTACTTAATTATATTTTTTATATTAGGAATTAGGAATAAGATAGTAATGAGGATATATCATATATTAAACAAAATATTTTATTTATTTTTATAATATATTAATACAAATTAATACATTAAATATGATACAGGATCTTTTCAATTAATCTACGTCATATAATATTTTTGATCAATAATTGCAGGATATATTTTCCAATATATATCTAACATATATTTTCCGATGTTACTAAACATAAGTCAACGTAAAACGTATACTTACGTTTCCAATTGCGAATACTATACATATATATTCAAGGATACCCAGTCAGAAACGTGTACGCATTTTTACTATTCGAATACGTAACATTGCGAACAAGTTATGGAATAAAATCTCAGTTCTTTGATACACGCGCACTATCTTATATGATCGTACTTAACAAGCATATACTTTGGAGCGATAAATCAAGAGAAGGGACAATGCGCTTTTAATTCTTTTTTCTGCTTTCGTTATTAATCACATATAAGTCAAGCGAAAGGTAATAACCTTAATCTTAACCTATCAATCATTAACCTTAAACTTATCCTATCTTAGTAAAAAAAAACGATTTACAATGGATTTAATGAATTTTTTGAAATAAGATATTATAACATCCATTACATTACGTCAAATATTTTTTTTTATTATAAATAATATTAAAAAGATATATATATGTTTATAAATATTGCTATTTGCAGGTATAATTTTGAAAAGCATACAATTTCTTCTTACCATAGGAACAGTTTTAGAAATGAGCCAAATTAAGCAAAAATCTCTCATCAAAGGTGAAATATTATAAGTGTAATTAAAAAATAATACAGAATTTATGTTTACGAAAGTATTATTAAAATATCAAACATATTTCTGAATAATTCAATTATATTTGTAAGCAAACATAAGAAATATATATTTCTAAGAATAATTTTATGAAATTTTTTCTATTAGATTTATTCCACAAGAAACAATCAAGAAATCAGAAAAAAAAGTTAAACGAAAAAATCAGAGAATGTAATGGCAAGTATTTAATCACGTATATTAAATCAAAGCAAATATTGAATATATGAATATTATATGTTATTATTGAAATATATGAATATTATATGTTCGAATATTACTTTTCATAATTGTGATTATTTATTCCTTTTTATAATAGACTTATGGATTAAAATATTTTTCTGTTGTAGGTATTGATTATCCATTGGACATATGGTTTATAATATCAGAATATATTAAACCAGAAGATATAGGGAAATTTGCTTGTATTTGTAGATCTTCTTACTATGTGACTACAACTGCAAAATTTTGGTTTCATCTATATAAGATGTATGTTCTACATACAATTTTTATTTTTAGAATATTATGTTCTCATAATAATTATTATTAATATATAATAGTTATTACAAGTTCGTTCCTGGTATACCAGAACGCTTGCAGCCACATTGGATGGTACTACGCCATGAATTACGTTTTTGCGTCATCAGAACATTGCATTATTCCTATTTTGCTGAGAGGAGTACATTAAACTATGTATCACAGTTACAGCAAAGAGAGCCACATTCTCTTGTTAAAAGACGATGTTCTCTCATGTGGCACAAAGTATATTGTTATTTTTATATTTCAATTATATTTCATACTATTCTTTTTTCTTTCACAAAATTACATATAAAAATATGTTATATATTTTGACTAATGGAGCTTGATAAGAATAATAAAATATAATGATAATGAAAAATATTAAAAAATCTTAATCAATATTTAATTATTCCAGAAAGGAATTAGTCGATGGTATTTTTTTTTCAAATTAAAAGAAATATCAAGAATATGTAATGGTACTTTGACACAACAAAATAAAAACATACATGAAGAAACGAATGATATTGAAAGAGCAGAAAAGATAAATGCAAATCCAGAAGAAGGTTGTAAAATTTTACGTGTATGTATTTTTCCCGTTAAATGTATTACATAAAGATAGTATCTAATGTCAAATATTAACTTAAATTGAATTTTAGGTAAGATGTGTAGAATATAGCAAATTACCATTAGTAATTGGACTAATTTTACAGAAATTATCAGTGACCTTAATGCCTGGTCTTAAATATTTGCGGTTACAGCTTGGATTTGGAACATCAGATATTCCAAATGCATTAACAAGCCAAGTTATACTCAATTATGTAAATGATTATGAAGTTTTAGATTGGTGGCATCCGCGTTATCCACATCAAGATACAATATCTCATTTATGTGAGGTAGGTACTACTATACATTTATCCTCGGATGATACTTGGGAATAATGTTTCTATCTAATTTCTCACAAGAATATTATATTTTGTCTATTTATAAGTATTATATAAATATTAATTTTATAACTGAAATATATGTATGCAAATGTTATAAAAAAAGTTTCAGTTCTAATTGAATAACCTAAACATTCGATTATTTCTCAACATTCGTCTCAATATTTTTACATATTGATTTCGTACAAGTCTTTTGGATATTAACGAGCTGTAAATAATTGTCATTTCTATTCTGTTATTTATTCTTTTCAATAGTATTTTATAATAAAACATAATATTACTATATCTCTTTTAGCCAAGGTTTATCTATTAAAGCTGTTCAGCCACTTATCACTCGAGACGTGTATTATCTCAGCAAAGAGTATGGAAAGCGTATTAGAAAATCTAGTCCCTCCTATTCATTCTTTCTATTGATTCATTGTATTGTATTCAGTGTATGCTATATAGATAATCACGCTATCGATGCACGTGAATTGAAGAACTGAGTTGACAATGAGACATCATTTAATGTATGAGCGTCAATTTGCATAGAACAAAGCCAATACACATTTTGTAAGAGAAACAAAACATGCGATTTTCAAATAGACGTTAATAATTTTCTCATATTGATATGCATTACTCTTTCTACATCTGCCTAAAACAATTCATTGTAATAATAGACTGGTAACAATATTATTTAGAAGAAATGAATAGATATATTTACGTCCCGTTGCAAAAAGCATTCCAAGTCCTTCGTTTATTTTGCTACATTGTATTGTATAAAACAATTCGTTACAAATAATAAATTGACAATAATATTATTTAGGGAAGTAGTAGATATATTTACATTTAGTTATACAATATAAATCATCGTACTGAAATGACGAATTACTGTTCCAATTAATTTAAAGATTATACAACCAAATCTATATTATTTAAATATATTAATTTATTTAATTTGTGTTGAGAAAATATGCGTCGGGCTTCTAAAATGTTCTTTGAATAGCTAGCTTTACGAGAATCATCAGTATTCATCAAGGTAATCATCAAAGGTAAGATTTTCTTGCATAAAAGATCCTGGACTTGGTATATATAATTATCAGAAACTTTTAACTTTGGCACTTCATTTTTGAGGTGCATGAATCTAATTTTCTTACGTTCAATTCTCTATATCGACGTCTTATTCTTCAATGAAACAGAATATTTTATTATAGAGAATCAGCATTAATTATTCTATCGGGAGAAGCAGACAAGAATAGTTGATTATTATATACAATCAAAATACAATTTTGAATATCTAATCCATATTTTGCGGAAAAATGAATTATTGCCAATGACTCACATTTCTCCATTTCGTATTTCTATTTTCCATAAAACAGGATACTGAAACGACTCAATTAACTTTTTATAAGAAGTATGTAATCTTCTTTTATTTATTTTGCCGAAAACGAAAGCAATCATTCGTTTTCGATCCTGTTCAATCCATACGTTCGATAAAGATTAAAAATAAAGAATTAAAGAAAGAGAAATTTGAATCCACTTAATATCCGTATCTTTGTCAAAATACTACAAGTTGGAGATGAAATACGAGAATAGCATCGTAGTATGTGTGTGTGTTGACGCATAAGTGCATCCCTCAGTTGTTCACAGTACTTTCTCATAAGGATCATATATCACTATTAGAAATATCTAGCCTTAGGAATTCGTTGTACATTCGCTAAGAAAGAGCATAGATAAGAAACACATTGCCATCTTTGTCTGAGCTTGGGCATTTCTTAGCCAAGCACGTAGTTTTACAAATGTGTGTGGCCGAGCAATAAATAAAAGTAGATGCTTAAATGCGACGAACCAAGAATTGTCTAGCATATTTATTGACACACGATCTAGTCTACACGATCATAAGAAAAAAAGAGGCACATATGAGATTGTGTAAACATTTAAGAGAATTATCCTGACCCGCTCCGACCAATAAGCATCTTTCCTTCCCTTTCCATGATCTGATTATATTTCGACTCCGCTCCTTCTATTCCCTTTCCTAATCTCATTATGATCCTCGCGAGAAGTTTTGAGAATGACGATAGTCATAAAAAGAAAGTGATCAGTTTGGAGTAGTCCCTGACCGAAGAGAGTCATCATAACTGCGCCCAAGTAAAGACCAATATTCTGTACACTACTATTTTCTGGAATAAATATATATCAACTGTTTTATTTTAATTAATCTTGCCTATCTCTGACTAGAAAATACTCATAAAGCTAAGATATAAATGAGTATTGTATCACGTGATGATCGACCCATTACATTGAGCGATTTAGAATGCGATTTGACATTCAGTTTAAAAACTTAGTTATCTCTACATGTGATGCCCTTTGCATTTTTTGTAAGTCGCATATAAGTAGTATTCCTATTAAATTTTGGTGATTATAACAGCCTTTCGAAATTGACAACGCGACAGCATAATTGGATGCGCAGTTTGATAAAGATACGATAGTTGACGTGAATTCATTTTCCAAGCATGATTTTAAGGCTGTTCATTACCCTTGGTTTTTTAATGGTTTATGCCATCAAAGAGAACAGGCGTAATTCTTAATCGATTTTAGTGAACAAGATCGTCTTATTTTAAAAACGAAGGTTTAATCTACCATTCGATTAATCTACCAATTAACCTACCATTTCGACGAATTTTTGAAAAAGTTTTGTATTTATACATAAACTATCCTTATGTATTTATACATAAAAAATGCAAAGGACATCACATGTAGAGATAGTTTTAGTTTAGTCTGGAGGTAGTTTATGTAGAGGTAGTAGTCAGCAAAATTGTAATTTCAGTACGAAGATATATATTGTATAACAGAATATAAATGTATCTATTATTTCCCTAAATAATATTATTGTCAATTTATTATTTGTAATGGATTCTTTCAAACAACAGAAATAATGTGGCAGAATAAATGAAGGACAAAGAATTGGAATGCTTTTTGCAATGGAATATAAATATATCTATTAGTTTCTTTTGAATAATATTATTATCGGTTTTTTATAATTATGAATTGTTTTAGTCAGAAGTAGAAAAAGTAATACATGTAATGTCAATCGAGTATGAGAAGAATATTAATGTCTATTTAAAAATCGCACGTTTCGTTTCTCTTATAAAATACGTATTGGCTTTGTTCTGTACAAATTGACACTCATACATTAAATGATGTCTCATTGTTCTTAGTTCTTCAATTCACGTGCATTGATAGCGTGATTATCTATACAAGCATACACTGAATACAATACAACGAATCAATATAAAGAATGAATAGATGGGACTAGATTTTCTAATACGCTTTTACATTTCTTTCTATACTTTTTACTGATATAATACATCCTTCGATAGTGGCTGAATAGCTTTAATAGATAAACCATGGCTAAAAGAAATATAGTAATATTGTTTTATTTTAATGATTTTATAAAATAATATTTGATACGTCGTAAGGGCACAACTACGAGAGCGTTTCCAGATGCATTTGCACCGGATGATAATCGATTTTGCAGCGATGATAATCGATTTGCATATTTTGCAAAATTTCTTTCCTCTTCCTTGTCTTTAGAGTTGTAGACCCACTGATCGCGATGAATAAGGATGGCGGCACTAGGCTAAGATATCGTTGAAGACCGTTAGTAAAATATCGCGTGCCGCATTCCCGCAAATTAATGGAAGAACGCACGCTCTTTTAAAGGATTCTGTGAAGCTTATGAGGTAGTGATAATAAATATTGCGCGAATTGAAGTTATCATTGAAGTATATCAGTATATTTGTTGAAATAACAATTGTTGATGCTCTTGTAGGATTGTGGATTAGTTATGTTGCTGCGTTTTAGATTGTGCTTGATATCTCTGATTAAGGCATAGCCTTAAATGCTTTGATGCAACTCTCTGTAAATTTCTCTCAAACTATCCATCAAGGCATTAATGAATTAGAAAAGGGAAATGGAAAAGGAGGAATTTAAGTAAAAAATGCCTGGAAAGGGAAAGCAATATTCTTATTGGTCGTGTGCATGTCAGGATAGTTCGTTGGAATGTTTAAATAATTTCATATGTGCCCTTTGTTCTGGTGATCGTGTAGACTAGAGGGTGTCAATGGATATTTCAAGATTAGGCGCCAGAGAACCCTTGTCTCGTTGCACCTAGGTGTCTACTTTCACTATTTATTTATTGCCCGGATTGACACATTATTGAAAACTAGATACTTGACTAAAAATGCCTAAGCTTGGACATAGATGGCAATGTATTTTTTATCTATGCATTTTCCTAACGAGTATCTAACGAGTTTCCAAGGGCAAATATTTCTAATAGTGATATATGATCCTCAGAAGAAAGTATTGTGAACAATTGAGGAACGCACTTGTGCGTTAACATTATTGAAAAAATACATAACATAGAGTAGAAATGACAATTATCTATAATTCATTAATATCCAAAAGACTTAGTCGTTTTACTTCATTGATAATATGGAAGTGTACTCACGTTTTGGTTTTTATTAAAATAATATATAATATATAAATATTCCTTATTTATTATTTTTCACAAAATAAGCGACAAAATCATTGCGACGAATCGAAGACATATATACTTTACAGGAAAATAGCTTTTTTGTGCTCGAAATGCGTTGTAGAATAATTTTTGTAATCCTATTAGGAAAATACGAACTAACTAACTCGGATCATTTACTCTTGGTTAATAAGGATTTTTTAATTAAAATATTACAACTCTTTACACTTAAGTTGTTCTACTTAAGACCACCGTATATTCTCTTTACTCTGTACTTCTTTTCTCGTTTCTCTTTCTCTGACCTACTTAAGACTGTCCCCTGTTTTTCGACTATCGACCAATTTATCTCATGTATACACACACACACACACACTTGATTAACTCTAGAACCTTCTATCTTTCTGCTCAACTGTCGATCGGCTTATCTTATGCACACATACACACAGCTAATTAACTCTAAAACCTTCCATCCCACATAATAGTACCAAATATAAATTAAACGTTTTTAGATGCTGCAAAATTACGGATTTTTTCTAAAATAAATATTTATACAGAATCTATTTTTTTTTAATGTTTTCCTATTGAAATGCGATATCTAGTGCGTTTTCAGCTTCGCTGTGCATTGATATGATACATGGACTAGTGCTACGTCTCGTCATTTATTCATTTGTGTTATCATTTTTGTCAAGAATAGATGAAATAATATCATCATCATTCATAATTGTATTATTTTTAAAATATTATTTTTATCTATATTTGAATATCATTCATCATTTTTTATTTATGTCTTAATATAATCGTTATTACAGTCTTCGAAACTATATATATTGTGGGCCAAATTATCTAATTTACGATTGGTTTCAATTTAGCTCTTATATATAAGACTATGTACATACATATATAGGTGATTCACCCTGTATTCAGATAATTGATCATTCGAATGATCGAAATTCTTATAATGAACTTTAGGTAATCGACGTTCTATTATACTTTTAATAATAATTATTTTATTAAAAAAAAAAACAAATAATTTACGTGTATTACATGTATTTTTTATAA